CAGAGAGCAGAGAGAGAGAGAGAGAGAGAGAGAGAGAGAGAAAGAGAGAGAGAGGCAGGGGCTTAAATACTCCTCAGTGGGACTCAGCATGATCTGATCGGTTAGGATCTTATGGTTCATGCTGATTGGAGGTTGGGGCAGAGGGAGGATTCAAGCTAGACTTGAGGCAGGACTGTGACCCTGGAAAACAGGAGCTTAAGGGTGCAGTAAGAACTGAAACCTATTGGCGCCATTATTGCCAACATAAATCTGATGAAAAAGAATAATTAAAAAGGCATAATACTGTAAGCATTATTTAAAGTAAATGATAGTAAAAATTCTAGAAATATCCCTATGCCTTTGGTAAAGAATTCTATAATATGTTTAAGATGTGAATATTTCTGTAATACAAGAAATCATTATTAACAGAAGGAAAAGGAGAAGGTATAATCTCTAAAAAAGGAAGTAACATTTTTGTAGTTGATATTTCATGAATTTCATTTTTGTTGGCAAACATGATGGTTTCTTACATGGTAAATTTTGGCATCCAATTTGAAGAGAAGTATTGCAATTACAAAAACAGCATTCTAGCAGAGGGACCCTTTGGGTATTGAAGATCATAAGACAATGTTTTTAGAGCATCTATTTGCATGCATAATTTAAATTAAACCTGAAACACAAAATCTGTGAGTGTCTGCTAGATATAGTTATACACTAATGAAAAGTTAGTGTATAAGTAATGAATAGAGATTGTTTCACATTTATTTTCTAGTTGGTGCACGTGAATTTATCATAGGGAAAAATCACAAACATGCATAGGGTATGCTCATTATAAATTCACTGTCACTAATTTCAGGGCAGTGAGATACAGCCTTAATGCTGCCAGCAATCACATCACATTTCCTGGTTCCTTCCCCTCCCAGTCTTTGAGTGGATTGCTTCATGCTTTCCCCTCACTTCTGAAACTACCATAGCGTTCCTCCATTAAAAAAAAAAATAGATGACCTAGCTTTCTAATTCACTGAAAAAATTGGGTTACTCAGTAGGGAACTTCAATTTTCATAAAATTATTTGTTCCTCTTTTACCAGTGCAGTTCTCTCCTGTACTCTGAATAAACTCTCTGTGCTACCATGGCCCCAGGTAATGACAGCATCCCCATTTCTGCTTCATATCTATCTTTTTTTTACCTACTCAGTGTTGGAAACTCTGTAGCAACAATCAGTATTCTTTCTCAATAGTTCTTTTTTATTGCCTAAAATGTTTAGAATTTTGCAATTATAGCTATTGAAACAGCATAAATATTGAAACAACAATCTGACCCCATTTGACCTTTAACTACTACACCATTTTCTTTGTTCTATTTACTGTCAAACTCTTTAAAATAATTTTCTGTTTCTCTCCAATTTTTCATATTCTTATTCTCTCTGGAACCCATTTCTTCAGATATTTTTTATTCATCTGAAATGGTTGTAATCATGTTATAAAAAACTTCTACATGCTGATTTCATTGACCATTTCTTTGCCTTTTTTGTTCATTTGACTTATTAACAATGATGGACATATGATCTTTTATTTCATTTTTTTATTTTATTGTTTTTACATTTACTCACGTGTATACATTGTTTGGGCCACCTTTCTCCCACCCTCTCCCTGCTTCCGGGCGGAACCTGCTCCGCCCTCTTCATTTGGATTATTAACAACGATGGATGCATGCTCTTAAGTGGGGTGATTTTCTCCTAACTTCGGTTTCTACTGTCTGGTAAGAGACTATTGTTTTCTCATACAATTTAGTATGTCTCATGGCTAAATTCTAGAAATTTGATCTATATGTGTTTCCATATAGATCTATTCGGTCTCAAAGTTTAAAGAATCACCTAAAAGCTGATGATCCCTTTTTTGGTGGTAGGAAGTTACAGTGCAGGGGACTGAGTCTCATGTGATGCCCAGCTAGACTTGAAGTCCTGAGCTCAAGGGACTTGACACCTCAGCCTCATGAATATCTGCGATTATGGGCATGTACCACCATGCCTGGTTATTTCTAGATTTTTTTTTAATCTCTAAGCTGAACCATTTTTCTAAAACATTAGACAATATCCAGCTACTTGTTTGATCTTTACAATGAAATGTGTAACCTAATATGGTCAAATTGCATTCCTAAAAGGCAAATGATATCCTTGTCAAATTTTTATTTCCCACATTTTTCACAACCCATTTAATGGAAATCCAATTCTTAAAATCACTCACACATAAACCTTGCATCATCCATGGCCTACAAGATGAATGTCACACTTTCATTTTCTATCTCCAGCCATTCTTTTGGTTCCACCTTCAAAGTGTATCAAGAATTTAGCTCCTTCTTACCACATCTGCTCACACTGACATGGAGAGGAAAGTATCTTAAGAGAATCAGAATGATAGAAATTAAAGTGAAAGAAGAGATTTTAGTAAGTATTGCTATGGATTAAATATAAGAACCATCTTAAATTGTTCAGAAATATATGAATAAGGATTAGAATTCCTATTTGGAACATTGAATGACAGATCATAGTTTTATTTATATTTATTTTTTACAGTACTGGGACTTGATCTCAGGGCCTTCACCTTGAGCCATTCTGTCAGCCCTTTTTGGTGATGGGTTTTTCAAGATAGGGTCTCACAGTCTATTCGTCTGGGCTGGTTTTGAACCGTGATCCTCCTGCTCTCTGCCTCCTGAGTAGCTAGGATTACATGTGTGAGCCCCAGGTGTCTGGCCATTTGTAATTCTATTCATTATAATTACTATTTATAAATGAGTAAACTGAGATCTAGATAAATAACTTGTCCAAAATGACATAAGTTAATTAGTGCCCTAGTGTTAACATCAGAAATACCTTCTTCCAGAATTATAATGTTTCATTTTAGCACCTAAATTAAAAACCAAAATATTTTGAGTAAAATGTTGCTTACTTTGGATATACAGATATGAATTGAAAGTCTAAGTAATGTTTTACTTTTGATTAACACCTACAATGATTACAAGCCTTCTCTTGGTCAGAGATATGACAAAGGAAAAGGATATAATATTCCTTAAACCCTCAAAATTTTCCTGTAATCTTGCCATGAATCCAAGAGACGACCCATCAGTAGGCATCAAAGTAAGGTGGGAAGTGAAGTAACAGGTAAGTACATGGTAGTGCCAATCTCATACGGGGAATGTAAAATTGGGTGTTTTGCACATCTTCCTTTTTCTCTAACTACCCTATTCATTGGTGTACTAGCAGATAGTATTTCTGGACATGAATCCATTACTTATTGTGAATATAGAAAACACTCAATTTCCCATCCGTTACATTTCAGCACAGTTATTATTCTTATTGATTTTCCTTGATATTGGGACTGTCTAAGAAATTAACCTTGTCTGGTCAGTTTCAAGAGTTCAATGTTGAGACTATTCCAGTGTCCTTAATCAAGGACCAATTCAATTCTCACTATTGCATGCTGTCCCTCCCAGCCGATGCTGTTGCCAGTAAGGGGCTCTTCTGTTCCTGGTCCATAGAAGGCCACTTCTTCCTGATAAGTTCTCCTACACAGATACAGACTCCACATAGATCTTGTAGGTACTAGTGTCTTGTTTATTTGTCATTTATATTTGTTTTTCTCTACCCATTTAAATGTTGTGTGCAGAAATCCCGTATATTTTAAATCTTTCTATGGATTTTGGTTTTGCTATCTAGTTACAGCATTTTTAATAATTACATGCTTCTAACAATACACAGAAATTCCTTTCCTTAAAACTTTAATGTGAACTTCATACACTTACTTTATTTATTGTTGAATTCAACTTTTAAAAATTTATCCTGACAGGCTAAGGTAATATAATGGAGAGGGTGAACTTGTTCAAAGTACTCTGTACATATCTAGGGAATTATAGCAGCTAAACCCCTTGTACTATTAATGTATGCTAATAAAAAGTGAAAAAACTTCATCCCTAGTGATTTTTACATATGTGTATTTTGTCTCCTGCAATCCTTAAAGCTGATATGTGGCTCAATCATATTTGGCTCCTGATCCTACACTGGCACAGACTTTGACTATCTTCTTTGTATGTAACTTGTTCATTATACTGAGTTAATTTTTTTGAGGTACACATTACTCAGCTCTCCAGTAGCTATTTGATCCTTGACCTGGTCCATGACCCCAGTCCTAGATATTAGTTTTAATTACTATGGAAGGCATTAATCAAAAAATATGTTTGGACACCTGGTAAAATATTGATTCAAGGTTAATCTGTCCTTTGATTTAGCTAGAAAACAAATTCCAGTCTGCATATTTTCCTCCAGCTTTTAATATTAGAGAAAATTCTTGTGGTGTCTAGTGCTTACATGAACATTGGAATAACAGACTTTTCCCATCCCATACAGTGCTAAGCAAGAAAATGCTAATAATAAGCCTTACTAATGTTTATGAGTTTAGATCCTTTAGCTAAAGTTCAGATTGCATTCAAAATCAGTTCCTAGTAGGTTGAATTGTGCAGATTAGAATCCCATTTTGAATGAGTAAAACTTTGAGGAAGAGAAAGAGCTGAGGAGTATATCTAAGCTGTGCTCCAGCTTATACATTCACCTTTTGCTAATTTTCTATGGTCTTGACTCCAATATTCTTATTATGATATTAAACAATGAATAAATCTATGAATACTGATTTTCATAAACCAAGTTTCTAATGAGGTCATGATAAAGTTCAGAAATGTGCAAATTGTATAAATTTAGTTGGCAGATGACAGATTAAGCATGAGCCTAAATTGGAGAAAACATGATGTTCATATGTGAGGAAATTAGCAGTAGATACACTCATATCTAAGCCTCTAGGTCAGAGAAAATAAGACAGTTCTTAAATCATTCCATTATACCTGCAATTAACATCTACAAAGAATGACAGTAACATTGGCTCAGGTGTTTAATTTTTTATTTCAGCATCTGTAATTATATTCCTTTCTGTACTAATGCTCATGTGATCTCTTTCTTCAATGTGTTTCCTCTTTTCAACGTGTATCATATGGGTCTATCCACTCAGTGCAGCAAATCTTAAATGGTGAGAAACATATATCAGTTGATTTTTCATCATTAAAGCAGTTTCTCCTACAGACACCTTTACGTTTTGTACAACGGTCAGCATACACAAAGTTACATGTGGCTACAGTAAAAGAAGATAAGTGAAATTACTTATTTCTTATTTAAGCATATATATTTTCTTATTACCAAAAGTGCTATAAGTATATTGTACCAAGTTTAGAAAATACCAAAAATACGAATACACTAAACCTTTCCATAGCTTACATATGTATAACTTTGAAGCTCATTTTTGACTAATATGATTAAAATTTCATGTCATATATTATTCCGAGAAGCAAGATTTTTAAAAAAGCTACATCATATTCTCTGGCAAATTTATATTTAATATCTTAGCTATTTTTCAATAATTGAACCATATCTAAAGTTTTAATATTTTTAGATTATAACAAATAAATGTGCATTATCTTTTAATATTGATATGATATATCATTAGCATAGAAGTAACAGAGTTTGATTCTAGGATTCTAACATACTGCCCATGACAATGTATGAAAATTTTGCCTCAAATAAAAAATTTATTGCAATTGTAACAATTATGTCTTTGATTTTCATTTGGAATAAATTTTTTCCTTTTTCCTTAAATCAATTGTTTATTTATGTAGCTGAAGTGCTATAGGATTATTTTTTAATAATTAATTAATTTACAAGAGTTTATGTGAAACATGGATACTAATTTTCTTTCTCATATCTGTCAAATTATTCCTTCTTAACTGCTTTTCATTTTTTGCCAATAACTATTTTATTACAAGAGAAATGCCTATTTATTTGCAAAACGTGTAAAAACACCATGATTTTGGCATGCAGAACATTGAAAACATCAATTTAATGTATTATTACACCTTTACATACTATCTTATCATATTTTATTTATTATAATATTTTTCTTCTTACATTAATGGCAGTTGTCAGATGTGTAGATAATTTCATTGTTCCTAGAGGATTCAATAGGTGTTCCACACTATTTCCTAAAACATCCTCTACATACTTTGAGATGACCTTCAATATATTATTAATTACTCTTGTGATATTCCAAAATCCCACATAGTTTAGATCTCTTTGAACTATCTATTTTTTATGGAGATCTCTCTATATTTTTAAGCAAAACAACAAGTTTGGATTCATAAAATGTACACTAAACAGCATGCAAGTTTTTTTCTATTTCATTTCTTTTACACATAAGTTATTTAAAGGAAGAACCTTGAGGAAAATTTCAGAACATAAATGCTTAGCTAAGTATTACTGAAAATTAGGTAAACACACCCAGGTGAAGTACCAGAATAGTGTCTGCATGCCATCGTTCTCCTTCACAATCACCAGCCTGAAGAAACTTACAATATCTTCTCTAAGTTCACTTGTTTTAAAACTTAATATGAATGCAACTGGATAATACATATGTAATTGTACCATTCGAAATTTTGTTTATTGAGATGTGTCCATGTTTTGTCTGATGGTCATACTTCCATTTTGATTATTCAAATTTTATCCTTATCTGCTAAAGAATATTCACATTGTCTACAGTCTTTAGATACACCTATACTTGACTCTCAGGGCACATATTCATGTATTTCTGTGAGGGATATTTGTATGGGTAGAATATAGGGTCATGAGTCTTTATAGTTTCAACTTCAGTAGATAATGTCAATTATGTTTTTAAATCATTTGTGTTAATTTGAAGTTACAGCAGCATTATATAATAATGGCTCACATTCAAAATCCTAAACAAAGTTTGACATTTTTAATATTTCTGATATTTGAGATATTTTATATATCTCATTTCCTATCTCACAGTAACATGTTCACTGTTGAAATGTACCCTCTGTTCTTACATTTACCAATCTTTTTTTCCATTAAAATCCAACTTTTATTTTTTTAAAGTTGATCCCTTTTTCACTTTTTAAAAATTTTATTTTATCATTTTTACGTTTATTTACTTGTGTATACATTGTTTGGGCTCCCTCCCTCCTTCCGCTCTTATGAATATCGATATTTTAGACAGTGTTCTATATTTGCCTGCTTTTCTATTTGGTGATCTTTTTCTATTGGTTTATGTGAATTTTATATATTCTGGTTATATGATCTTTGCATGCTAAATATATTACAAATATTTCTCCATATAGAATTTGTCTTTTTATTCTGTGATTTTTTTATTACAATAAATTTTCTAATTTTAATGTGGCCAATATGGTGTTCTATATTGACTAAGAAAAATTACTCCTTTATGTCAGAATCATTGTAAGTTTTCACATTTTCCTTTTAAATTTACAGGGTCTCCCTATGCAGCCCAGGATGGCCTAGAACTCCCAATCCATCTGGCTTAGCCTCAGTTCTACTGATCTACTTTAAAGGATTTGTTTGATGTTTCATGATTACATCTGCAGTTCACTTGGAATTGGGTTTTGGTTAGGGTTAGTGAAAGAGATCAAATTTCATTTTTTAATGTTTGTGGCAGTGCAATGAAACCTGTTCTATTTATTGAAAAGTTTACCTGTCATATTTTTACTCAGTGCCATCTTCACCATTAATGAAGTTTCTATAGCTTATGTGGACCTTTCTGGATTCTCTGTTCTGAGGCATTGATAGATTTTTCTTTTCAATATGAAACTGCACTCTTGAATAAGTCCTTCCTTCTAAGTCTCCTTTTGACATGTTTTATTACTATTGAGTGCTTAATTTCAGAATAATTATGTTAGACTTAATAAAAACAAAACAGGACAAAAACTTTTAAGGTATGATCAAGGTTACATCAGCTCTATGGATCAAATTAGAAAATACTGACAGCCTTCTGATAATGACTTTTCTTACACATCAGTATGACATAACCCTCTAAGTCTAGATCTTCTTTAATTTCCCAATAATATTAGCTTCATTGTTAATTTGTAGAAACTTAAACATAATAAAATTTCCCCAGAATCAACTTTATCTATTGACTTTACCATATAAACTTTCCCTCTAATGTGTTCATGTGATGACACCAATTTAATAATTCTATACTTATTTTGCAATCAAGGAATTCAAGAAAATTTATAATGTAGTGAGACTGCTTCTAGGTTTTTTTTTAATGGATTTTTGAATCTACACTTATGATTGGTGTTCATATTTAATTTTATTTCTTTTAATGTCCTTATTTTATAATTTCAGTTATTATTGACTTCATAAGATGAATGAGAAGAATCTTTTCCTTTTTAGTTCTCTAGAACAGTTTGTGTGTAAATGGTTCAATTTCTTTTTTAAAAGTTTAGAATTTAAGAGTGGAACCATTTGTGCTTGGTGTTTTCTTTATAATTCTATTCCCTTGATAGATTTAGAACCATCTAAAATTTGTTTCTTTTACTATTTTCTGATTCATTATGGTGTATTTTTCCAGGAGTTATCAAGTACATATAATATTTGTAATGTATTATCATGACATTGGTCATAAAATCCTTATGTCATCATTTTGATATGTGTACATATTTCTCTGCTGTAATTTATTGTGCCTATCTTCCTTTGTTTACAGCTTTTTAAAAATGCTCTACTAAGTTTATTAGTATCCAGAAACAAAATGCGTCCTTAAATATTTCTTTAGTGTCTGATTCCTATTTCATTAATATCTACAACTTATGTTATTGCCACTATGGGTTTGATTTTCTTTTTCCAACCTTGTAAGTTAAAATTTTACTTACATTTTTGCTTTAAATCTTTTTAGACATCATATATTTATAAAACTGAGTAAAATTTCTTATAAACATTATTACTATATTCTGTGAGCTTTGATTTTTTTTCTCATTTTTGTTATCATTCAGTTCAAAATATTTTCTGTTATCCATTGAGATTTATTCTTTTGAATTAAAGATCCAGTTAATGTTCATGTTTAAGAAATTTATATTCTCATTTTTGTGGCGGTGTTTATTGTTCTCTGCAAATAATTAAGACATATTGTCATTTTCTACTATTTTGTGCACTTCTCTAGTTTTGTACTTTTTAAAATAATTTTACCTTATATTTCTCAAATAAATTTTTTTGTGATTGAGCCACCTTGACTCTATCCTAAAGTACCAGAACTGTACAGTCTTCTTGCTAGCATGCACCACAGATAAACAGCTCTTCTCAACTCATCCTCCCAATAGATAGTAAAAGCCACCAAGGACACCATGGTTTTCTTTTTTGAGATCCATGGCCTATTCTGAGACACCTTAAGAACTGGCTGACATGACCCATTGTGCTCCTTTCTCTGATAATGCCTCTCCATTTTTATGTCCACTTCCAGGTTTCTTCTCATATTTCTTGAAATATTCAATTTGGTACAAATGGAGAAATACTTTGCTTGCATTATACATTTTTGCCAAACCTTAGAAAATTTATTGCATTATCATTCTTTGTACAATTAAGAGAGCTGAAGCATCACCCACAGCTAAAAGGAAACTCAGGTCCTTAGTATGAACCTGATGTGTGCCATAGCAAAGTCATGCTGCAAACCACAGTTGTATGCTGCCTCAGTGTTTGTGTGGATTAATTCATGTTCGTACTTCACCTTAGAGACTTCTGCTTCCTTCATGTTTCAATCAGTGCCAGCATTAGTCTCTATCAGTGTTTTTTTTAAACATGACTAACTTTTTTGGAACAAACTGTTCTTTAATCTTCACAAAATATCCACTTATACTGGACACTTGTCATTACTTCCTTTTTAACTTTTAGGCTGTACCAATAGCTAAACCACATAATTGTGCAACTAATAAGGCAGTACCCTGTGGACACTTTTAAATGAGAAAAATCAACATTTAATATAATTAAGTCACTTCTTTAACTGACAAGATTGTGTTAAGATCCTAAATTTTCCATTTAATAGTCTACTATTTCTATTTCCAGATAGATCCTATATGTTAACAAACATTCCAGAAGCATTTATTTTACCTGGTAGAATGAAGGTCACATAATACAGAAAATGGATGAGATAGTGAAAGATCTTCATTCTGTAGGAAGAAGCTGATGAAAAAATTGGTAACAGAATCTAGAGACAAAAGCACTTTTTAAATAGCCGAGAGACCTTTCTATTTATAGTTTTCTAATGGAATAAAAAATGTTTTTTTTCCGGAAGTTGCTTTAATTTTGTGTACCTGTCTCTGCTCCAATGACTAGAGGTGTGGGCAGACCTACCCCAGATTAAAACTCTTGAAAATACTTGGTCTTTGGGGAGGAATCACTATGTGGCTAGTAGCAGCAAACATGGCATCCTATCTTGGTGATCAGCACAAATGCCATGCACCGAGTGGATGTGAGAGAAATATGACTTTACCATTCAGACACAAAACAATCAAATGTGTGTTAAATATTGATTACTTTTGAAAATATATTCTAGTCATTAACCTGATGTGAAAGTTTATCAATATGTCTATAGATCCAAAATCATTGCTTATATCCAGTTATCCTGTTAATTACACCTAAATTATTCATTTACAAAGACCTCATTTTTTGCTAATAATTTTTATTATTCCTTTTTTAGATGTAACTTAAAATATTCATGGAACTTTCCTTTTTCCTAGGAAAGTTCAATTTGTTTTCATTTATTTTAAAATTTCCATCACAGTAATACATGAATATGGTAAAAATGAAAAAATTCAGTAATTACTTGAAATAATGTTTCACCTTAATCTCCTTATTTTCAGAACTTCTGGTGATTACTAACAAAAGAATTAGGATCTAGCTTACTTCTTACTGTGGCTTACCACTCAGAATATATATCTTAGTTTCTACTAAGAATAAAACAAATGCAGATCACTTACAAAATTTCTTATGCTGACCTCAAATACTTGATAGTAATATCAATGGTTGAAGATTTCTATATATATATAGGTTATCTTCAAACATCTAAGTGCTAGCATTTTGTCACATCAACTTTAGTTAGTTACAATATTAACTCTTCTCCCCTACAATGAAGGTGTTAGGCATTTTGCCATTCACTCCAGCATTCTTTCCCACTTTGCATACCTCATTTACTTCTTACATATTTTCTTTTATCTTATTTATGTTAATATCCTGTAACCAGAATTGAAATATCTATGCTTTTAAAGATAACACAACAAGCAATAACAGGTTATGCCTTATTTTTTTAGTGTTTGTTAATTATACCCAGGGGCTTACCTAATTTTAGCACTCCAATATTATGACACCCGTGCTAATCAAAGAGAAATGCCCTTGGTTTCAAGTTCTAGAGATCGTTATTATTGCTACTACTACTATTATTGTTCCATTTGCTTTTTGATTTCTTTATTTCCTTCACATAGAAATTTTTGTTTTGTTTTGGGAATAACTAAGTGATTTCTGTTTAAATACGCTTCTTACACATTTTATGCAAAAACATTGGTATTTCCTTTACTACTTTTTTATTGTTATGCTGGGTGGGGGTACATTATGGCATTTACAAAAGTTCTTACAATATATCAAATCCATCATACTTGAATTCACCCCTCCATCATTCTCCTATATCTTCCACTCCTCCCATTCCTAGACTAATTTCAACAGGTCTCATTTTCCATTTGTATACATGTGTACACAGAATTTGCACCATATTCACCATTTCAAGCCCTTTTCTCCACATCCTCCCCCTCCTACTGGTACCAAACCCCTCCCTGAAAGGACTTTTTCTTTAAATGTATTTCAAACATTGTTATTCTATCTTTTTATACTTGATAATGACATCATGAAAAATAGTTTTCCTGTATTTTATTTAATATATGTGGAAAAATGTTAATAGCCATTGTCTGTCTCCAAGTTTATTGTAGTAGCATACAGTATGCCTTTCTAGGAATTCCTGTTTCATTGCAAGAGTTTTTGAGCCTGCCCTCCTGCCCTAAATATACTGTTATCTGGATACCTTGTCTTTTGCTTTTCTATATCCAGAAGTGTTTTCAGAAAAGATAAAAGAAATATGATAATTTCCTTGCTGTAAAATATTTTTCTCTGTCCTTACATTTACTTAAGTGAATGTGCAATCTAAGTTTAAATCAAGCTCCTTCAAAATATAAAAGTCATTACTACAGTAATCGCCAACATTGAGTCCTCTTGATGAGAAATAAGACTAGGTTAGAAGAGTGGGCGGCATGCCCAAGAGTATGGTTGAATAAAGGGAATATACGAGTCTACACTGATAACCAGGGGTTTTGTGGAGTTTTCTTATCCAGGGTTGTTTATTCAGATTTTTTTGATATCTCTGTGTTTTCAAGGATAAGGGTGCTCCTCTTCACTGGAATTTGACGAAGGTGTTTTGGAAAAAAGATCTTATAAACTACTTTAATAGGAAGGTCATCTAGATTCCATGGCCTGCTTCAGGGGAGGAGGGATATGGAATGGTCTTCTTGCATCTGTTGTTTTCTCAAATGTGAATATGATGTGTTTGGGGATAGAAGAAGTCCTGTTTCTTTGCCCATCCCTTTCAAATTTCCTCTCCCTCTAGATTAGAGGGAAAGTTTTGGACTTCAAGTACATGGTATTGTCAGTAGCTCATTTCTGAATAAGCTCTACCCAGTTGTTGTCATACAATAGAAGAGATAAGTGTATGTGAGGAAGAGCCTAAATTGCAAAACAGGAAGTCAAAGAGAGAGACTATAGTCTCAAAATATCTTCAAAGGGCATAATACCAATAACCTAAGAACTTTTCACTAGGCTCCACCTCCTAAAGGTTCCATTAACTCCCACCCTGGGCACCAAAAGCTTCAGTCTTAATGGACCCTGGAAGGATGTAATTAAACAAACTATATCTACACCATAGCACTCGCTGAGTTGTAGAAACACAGTAACATTCTGTTTTTATAGTTTTGACTATTCTGGATATTTCTTATACACAGAATCATATATTGTGACAATTTATGGGTGGATACTTTCAATTAGTGTATTTTCAAAGTCTATTTTTAGCATAAGTAAGTGCATCATTACATTTTATTGTCAAATAATATTTCGTTGTATAGACATAACACACAAAATTTATTCTATCTACTAAATTATAGACATTTGGTTTATTACCACAGTTCGGCTGTTGTGATAATATTTCTATGAACATTTATGTGTAAAAATTTTGTGATGTTTTCATTTCTTTTGTATAGATGCCTAGGGATGGAATTATGGAGTAAAACAGCAAACTCCTTGCTTAAATTTTCCAGGTACACTAAGACAGTTTTTCAAAGTGTTTGTACCAATTTGCCAGTTTGTATTTCTACCCGCAATGTGTCAGAGTTTCAATTTCTTCTATACCCTAACCAATGTTTTTGATTCCCCATTGTTTTGATTTTAGCTCTCTTAGTGAGGGCGATGGGATATTTCTTGGGAATACTGACTTGTACTCATTTGATGGCTCTTGTGCTTAAGACTTTTTTTTCAAATACCTGTTGGACATTTGTATATTTTCCTGAGACCCATTTGGTGAACTCTTTAGCTCCTTTTTGAAGTTGGTCATGTGCCCTTATTTTATTGAGTTGTAGTATTCCCTATCTATCTATCCACAACTACCATGCTTAGGAGGCTGCTGGTTTTCAAGGATACAATGGACCTGGAGAGGTGGGAACAGAAATAAGCAATTAAAATATCACAAATCTTATGTTGTGGTTCTGAGATGCAGCAGTTTTTTATTGAATTTAAGGCTCATTGGATTTTTGACAGGCCTACTTTCACTGTAGAGCTGTTAGAAAGTTGACTATGACAATATTGTGCCAGTGTATTTGTTGCCTTGATGGTGGGACAGAGTTTATTACTCTGTCATTCTGGAGGTCCAGTTTGTGATCATTATTTATTAATTTATCACTATTTATTGCTTTATTTTTTTTTAGTTGTTTAACTTTTGTCACCTGAGAGCTATACATTGTCTGGTTAATATTTCTTTGTAAGAAACTATTCAGAATCTCAATTACTTAAATAGGGAAAAGTATTTATCTGCTCTTGGAAAAGAATCAACACAGAGCATGGTGAGGATGAGGTTGACTGTCTTCTACATGTGGAACCTCAACTAGGAAGGCACAGAACCTGAGAGTGAGTGCTCAGGGGCTAGCTTCTTCTTAACATCTTTCATGGCTTCCATCTCTTTTGCACATGAGCTAAATAAGTGTTGTTCCTTGGGAACAATTTTTTTCTTCTCATTCTATAGCTTTTTTTGGTTTATTTTATCTTGTTGTTTACGATAATGACTCCACAATTATATACCTGAAGTGCATTTTTGCCTTCCTGAGTCTCACACATGTATGCAGGAGAAATGTCTAGACTTAACATGATATAAATATTGTTTTCCAAATTGAATCTTTGCTCTATACTTCCCAATGAACGATCACATTGCCAGGCAAATTCTCCAAGTCAGAAAAGCAGATATTATCCATGTCTCCTAACATTAAATTCAACAAACTTCCTGGATTTTCTGCCATAATTCTGTCCAAAGTTTTTATTTTGTTGACATGGATGTTGTAGATCTAAATAAGAAGTATAATCAGTAAATGCTTTAAGTTCACTATGGGAACTTGGAAATGCAGTGAGTACACTGATGATAAGGAAAAAACCAGAAGCATTAAATATTAAATTAAAAGATGAGATAAATTAAATAAAATTCCTGAGGATTAAGAGAGAAGACTCTTGAATTTGGTGGCTTTTTCAAGGTTGATCATAGTCAGATTGGGATAGTTGAAATAGAAGCGAATTCTCTATTTATCTTGGGATATTTCCATAGAAAATCCAAATTTTCACATTATTTCATAATACAAAACAGTTCTTTAAAATCTTTTCAATTTACTTTTATTCCGACCATAAAAAGCATATTTTAAAAAACTCAACCATGAGCCTATTTTTATTAAATACTTCTTATAGCCATTTTCCTGTATTTTGACATAGATAAGACCTTAATATATTCCACTGTGGATCCCTTTAAGCGTTGATCAATTTCTTTTTCTTACAATTATTTGTCAATACTTTCTATCATATGATCAACATGTGCACAACTTTGTGTCTAAGAACCAAGCAGACTTATATTGAAACTTTCAAAAGACAGCATAAGCCATAATTGCTTGTTGATACCTCAATGCCATAGAAGGCTTCGGCACCCAGCAAATAAATAGGGTATACATAAAAGGAAACATTCAAGATAAAAGTAATTTATCACATATGTGGGGAACTACTTCTGCTAACTTAATGATAAACAAACAACTACTTTTCCCTACTTTTCCCTCTTTGTTTCTTTTGTTTGAATCCTACATTGAACTTACTAGTCATGGTACAGTTATGTAATCCAGAAAGCCAAAGGATACCCACTTGAAAATTAATTGATAGAAAGTAAAAATTCATTTTTATTGACAATATTGGCAAAGTGTAGGTTTTTACAGTGCACTAGAAGAATAATTTACCAGTTTTCTAGAGTTTTCAGTAGCCTTTCTCTTTGCTGGCTTTTGGTATTCACGTATCACACAGCAGGGCTCATTATCACAGTAATTATAGATATATTCCCAACTGTTGCATTCAGTCTTGCAAGCACCACGAACAAGGTAACATTCTCGTTTTCTTATCTCATCTTCTCTTATTTTTCTCTGTGGAACTGGGAAAAAGTGGCTATAATCATAAATCCAAGTTTAATTCAGATACATAGGTAAGTAGACAAATGGATGGACAGGTGATTAAATAAAGGTCTTCACAGTACATAATTTGGCCATGTTGTTTCTGAAATGAAGCATAGACAAGTCTATTAAAAATCTTTTCCCCTAGAAGTTTGTATAATATGAATATTTATAAAAAATATTTCCTTTGCTACTAGCATTTTTTATGGAATTAGAATATCTGGAAATACTTACTTTGTAAGTATTTGGAAGAAATGGCTTACCCATGTTATATCCTAAATGACCAACTATCTCCAAATATTCCCTCATGCTACCCATTTGCTTTGCTAGTTTAAAAAAAAATTAATTTGGGGCTGGTGGAGTGGCTCAACTGGTAAAGACGAGTGCCCAGCAAACATGAGACCATACGGTCAACCCCCAGTACCACAAACAAAACAAAAATGAAAAGTTAATTTCGCCTACAATATCAGTTAGTGAAATTGTGTTTTGAAGAAAAGGGACTAGCCAGCACCTAAGGAGTCACAGCTTCATCACACAACCAACACGGTCACTAGATGTAATGTTGTACCTTGCGAAAAATGTTTCTGTAATCTTCTCAAATATCGGTTCTATTCCTTTATCTTTTCATCAGATAGCTGAGTAAGTTTGCTATGAGCCCATCAGATGGAGTCTCTGAGAAACAGTTTGCTTGCTTTTTCTCAACAAGGCATTTATAAAATTTTTTTCCATCACATCCTTTCCATATTATTATAAATATTACCTGATGGACCACAAGACACAGTGAAGATTATGATCAGGAAAGTATAAAATATCTTCATTGCTGATGCAGTTACTTGAGTGAAGTTGGGACAGACTTCAAAGTATCTTTAGTAAAAGAAAGATGGGCTCATTTTTATAGACTTCTCAGAGTAATTACAATTCTGATTAATGCTGCCTTTCAGATTGAGCACATCATTTTGTAAGTATTGTGAAATAACAAACAAGTATAATAGAGGATTTAGTTCTGTTATGACCTCTGTGAGCCAAATGTGAACTCATTTTCTGAGGAAGCAAACAATGGATTTAAAGTATTTTGGTGATTAATTAAGGATTATAATATACATCATTTACATTTTCAGCCATATGTTTCCTTGAGCATTTGTTATATGCTAGGTATATAAAATCTTGCATTTTATATGGATTGACTAGTTTAGTCCCCATGACAAATTCCATAACAGGAACTTCTTATTTTTCCAATTGAGGAAACTGAAGTAATATGGTAACCAAGCCATGGTCTCAACCTCTGCTCTCTCCACCTTCATAAATAGGTAATGTTTGAATCATGTGAAGTTATTCTCTGTACACATGAAATGAGTCAGATAGTGTTTCTGTAATTCAATTTTTCTATAAACTGACAATATTTCTATAACAAATTATGGCACTGTTACATTAAAATGACAATAATCATATTACAAGAATAAGCTGTATCACTCTTTACACACTATACTTTCTCACTCATGATATTTTCTCAGCTATAGACCAATACAGTATGTTCAGAGCTAAAGGCCACTGGATTCAGATAGATAAGACTAATCTCTGGTCTGATTATGTCTCATAAATTTGTGATAAATGTAGCTAAGCCTTAGGATTCTCTGAAGTTTGCTTTGGCAAAACAAGTCATATTTGGAGATTTAATGGTAAGGAAAACAGACAACACCTATGAAAAATGAGGTATAAGTAATAAACACATCAACACAAACAATTTGGGCATTTGTAAAACTAGGTCTGAATGTTAAATTTCAAAAACCCTACAACTTAGTGATGTATGTTCTAATTTAGTCATGTATGTTCTATAAGAATATGTTATAATCTGAGTTTTACTTCTCTTGTTACTTCTGTGTATCATTCTTCACTCAAGAGATGTGCATATATATTTGTAGACAAACTAAGGAAAATCGAATTTCTAAATATACTTTCTCTATAAAATGTTGAAACAATGATTCAGACTCATGGGGACTTAATGAGACTTGTTCTGTTTAAATAGTGCATAACTGGACATATACAAAGTGTAAATAATCATTAAAAGGATGAATAAGAGATGATCTAGAATAAAGGACCCATTTTGCTCCAGTGTAACCATATCCGTTTTATTGTCTGAAATAAGCCACCGATATCAATGTATTCTAATAGCTAAACTCTTACAAATTTCAGAATTCTTTTGTATTTCATTAAAGATGACTCTGATATCTGAATCACACAAAACAAAGATATATATCTCAATTAGCCAGAAAGGTATGTAAGTAGAACCAAACTGCATGCACAACTGATTTTTAAATTTATTGCTTTCAATGGTCTCTTAGGGCTTGATTTGGGAGAAATGTAGATTCTAGATTTTTATCAATAAGTGCCATATGTTGTAATGTTTTCTTAGATGGACCATGTTTAACGTTATTGAGGTCATTATGTGTGTAAGGAACACAAAACATACCTATGTGATGTAGGTTAGGGAACAAAGGGACAAGCAGTAGGGATGAGGGCAGGGAATGAAATGGAATTTATCCAACAGAGCATTTTAATCCATGGTGAAGTGATGGGTGGTACCTGTCCTTTGAGGGTTTTTAAGTTCACTTCAGCTTCTAGTTGGAGAATTCTTTGGAGGAGTGTAGAAGTAGAGTCAAAGAGGGAGGTAATTTTGGAGAACACTTCAGTGCCCTATGGAAAAAGTTGTTGGTTTTATGGAGTGTTTCTAAGTTGACTGCATTTTTCTCCTTGCTTTCTATTTTTTCCATAGCTCTACTTATTTCTTCAGGCTTTGAACTTTCTCAGCTTCTATTTCCCAAGTCTGAACACAGTTGAGGAGCGCCTGTTCCTGATGTTCTGATCCACTGCCAGAACAATTACCACTGATACGGATCTGATGCCCTCCTACTTTCCGGTCAGACTTGGCGTGGGTTCTCTGTACCTTCTGAGGGAACAATCCCATAATAGGATATGCTGTACCAAGTGGAAGATTAAAGCAGTGTGTTTTCATTTTAGTTCCATTCTACTGTGCACTTCAGGGGTCATTTTCATCCCACAACTATGTTGCCATGTTCCACAGAATAATAAAAGCCCTTATGGGGAAAATTTCAGGTTAGTTGACGAATGAGTAAACTCAAAACAGAAAAATGATGAGAGTAAGTGCTTGGTAAGGAAAAGACATGGAGAAAAAGAGATAAAAGAAAAGAATAGGGTGAAAGGGAGAAAACACAAGAGATGAATAAGTGGATAAGTGCATCTCTGTGTGTCACTAAAACAGTATTTCTTGAACTTTGATGTGCCCACAAATCACCTGGCTTTTGTGAAAAACAGATTTTCTTTTTCATACAAGTTCTCTTATGGTATAAATGCTTCAGGTCTGTGAAGCACACTCAGATAGTCAGGTCTTAAGAGTATATCATCTAAGGAAGGCATTATTCTACAAACACTATCTAGAGTTGAGAAACCCAAGGCCCAGTGATAAAGATACACAAGTGCATTGTTGGAATGACACTTATCTTACCATCAATCTTCAATCTTCAGAATAGATTTTTGTAATGTTGAAAGTTTAAGTGAAGGGCAGACAAACATATATATGAGTTTTTGTTACACTGGTTTTAGAATGAAATTCTGCAGTTAGTCTGCCTTCTAGTCAGTGAAATGAGTAGCATTTTAGAGATTAAAAAAATCAATTCTGTAAATACAAATATTTTAATATTTTTTCTCTGTAAGATGCAAAAGAAAATGCTTAGCAAAATATGCATTAAAGAACGTTATAGTTTGGGTTTTTAGTGTCTCCCCAAAAGTCTCCTGTGTTGAAGTCTTGTTTTCCAGCTGGTAGCAGTTTGGGGAGGGGATTGGATCTCAAGGACACTAACTTTCTGCATGAATTCATCCTTATATCTGTTCAACAGACCCCCCTCTCTGTCTCACTTTGCTTCCACATTGCTATGGGATGAGCCACAGGCTCCTGGCACCGTGTTGTTTTGCTTTGCCTCAACCCAAAGCAATGAAATCAGCTGACTATGGACTGAAACTTCTGAAACTATGAGCCAAAAATTGGTCTTTCCTCCTTTAGGTTTATTTTCTCAGATATTCTGTCACAGCAATTAATTCTAACGCAGGGAAGAATTACTACTAATATAAATAATATGGAGTGATTTAAATTTATTTAGTTTTGGTTTTTAGGTTACAGTTAAAAGTATAAAAAGATAAAGAATTACCATTTTACCTACAGTCAAAGGGCTACCACTCAAATCCTTCAACTTTCTCACCCTTAAGATTTTTAGTCACAACTTTGGTAATTCCTGCTGAATTAATCATGGATTCTTTGTCAAGATTGTTTTGACCTAACTGTGTGTACTTGCATGATACATAGTAATCTGGAAAGAACTTCATGATTCTCCTACAGCTTCAAACAAACATTGCAATAAACCTGGTATGATTATTTGAAAAAATATGTGCCAAAAAGAAGAAATATGTTATAAATATGAATTTCCACATCTGGTGGAATTTTGTAAAGAAAAAGAAAGATTAGCATAGATGAAACTTCCCTGAGTTAGGAATGAGCGTCATACTAATAATTCAGTTCAATTGTTTGGTATATAATTTAGTTCCTTGAGTCTTTTATTTTCTTCAGTGCAGAATACTTAACTCAGGCTCTCCCAGATGGTAGGCAAGTGTTCTACTGAGCTACACTGGAGCTCACTAAATCTTAGAAGCTCACTGAATCAATGGCTTATTGAAGGGGACTATAAAAAACTTCACTGTGACCCCTTGAAAAATTTAAAGAGCATTTGCATACTATCATTTAAGTCTTGGCATTTTACAAGAATGCTAAGTTTAAAATTTTTGAAATATATTACTAATAAATCCTTAAAAGTCCTCAGTAAATCTCCAACCTTCATTTAGGAAAATATATTAACCTTACTTTTAGAGCATCTCTCTAGGTTCCACAGTTATCTTTGAGAATATAATAAGATGTGTGGGTGAAAGTTATTGAACAATTTATCTCTCAGCCTTGGACATTGCATTTTCAGATAACCAACCCTCAGGTCCCACTGTCCCTACCTGGGCTCTACTGTGGCCTCTGTGTTCTGATTAACTACCAGTATGTCCTCCTTTGAAGTGGTGAGCAACCTTCATCTTCTTGTGATTTTATTGCAACTCTGCCGATTTCCATGGCTTTGACTTTCATTGCTATTTTCATGATTTGGCACTGCCAAACCCCTCGTAACTCTTCATTCTTGCTGTCCCTGATGCCTCAACTGAAATCTGGGCCTTTTTCACTTTTTTGACCAAATTAATGACTCATTTTTCAAAATCCCCAAATTGTATATCCATATACTCTTATTTTCTGACCAATCCTTAGTATGATGGCTAGAATCTTACACATCACTATACTACACAATGTTTTTCGTTTTGTTTTGTTTTGCAGTGCTGGGATCAACTTAGGGCTTCACACATGTTAGGCAAGTATGATACCACTGATCTGCATCCTCAGGCCCTAAACACTGATATTATGTTTCAGTGCCCAGCCTTGTGTGAAGCTAGGACTTTGCCTCTAACTGCCTAGTTAAAACCTCGAGACCCTTGGTGGGTTTGGTTGTGCTTTCTCCACCTCCACCACACATTGGGATGCTTCACCTGATGCCCTTATTACTCTGGCTTTTGGGATATTCTTTTGTTTAGTATGTTGAGGTATCTCATTATAGTGAACATTATGCTATAATTAATTTTTAAAAATATTCCGTCTGAAAGTTTTGGATGTTCATAACAGTAAGAGGCATTGACTTAATTCTCTCTGTCATAGTAACATCAG